GCTTACGTTGAGCCTCTGCTCCGTATTGTCCTGCCGTCGAGCCCCCGCTCCGGCCGCAAAAACAAATTATCACAACAAATACAAATCCGAGCAACAGCTCGGTACCGATGTAAGCATAGCGACACTCGGTCTCGCTGATACCCCGTAATACATCCAAATTCCACGCATGGTTTGGTTAGGGTTGAAGCTCGTCCACGTCACTTCAGCTAACATGATTTGACGGGTCCCGATAATTGTCGAAACATGAACACCTCGGCTGGGGCCACTCCATAATCGGACTCTGACGAAGTCCGGTGAACCATATTTATTTTATGTACGGCATCGCATGTGTTAAGTTCGGCAAACTCTTAAGTTTGCAATACCGACTTACGCTATTGCCGAATTCATTAAGAAGATCAACGTGGAACTCGGATTTCTATATATGTACCGAGTTCATTACACGATCTAGAAATTGCTGAATTTCACACAGCAAAATTGGTTATACACTTACCTGCAGCATATGTCGGTTCTCCATATTCCCGACCGTCCATCATATATATGATTATGCCGGCGAAGCATAACACCTGCCGGCAGAATATGTCAGACTCGACAAAATACCGAGGTATCTTTCTTTCTCGCACTACGCATCGGCATACTCCGTAATGCATTCATACATTCATACGCGCGTCACACATACATTCATTACATATGCGCATCGGACATACATCTTGACGTCCAACTCAAAAGAATACAATAAACCAAACACCCTCATCTGTTTGGGCCCACACTGGTTAGGCAAAGTCAATAAGACATTCCCGGCTAGGACATATGCGAAAGAAAAAATCATTACACCGAGTTCTTCAACTCGGTATAATAAGGCCTTTACGTACACCAAGTTATTCAGCTTGGTAGGGTTGATACCCATACCTTCACCGACCTCTTCAGTTCGGTAGACTAAAATCTTTCCTTTTCTGTTCCTAACCGAGTTCTCCAATTCGGTGGGCAAATATATCATATCGATAACATCTTTGCATGAAGATCGATAGCAATACAAGGGGCCCGAGTGCCTGCACCAGCTCAAAATCTATACTATTATGATCATTTCAGACGCACATTCATTCAACGCGTCCTGTTACACACGAAAATCGGGTACCGAATTACCCGACCAGGCCAGCCAGGCCCATTCATATTGCATTTGCACATAGTTGACTATCCACGCAGTCGACTCCACTCGTCAGAACAAAAAACACGATTACCGT